GGAGAGACGAAAGAGAGAGAAGAGAGAGAGAATGGGAGGCGAAAGAGAGAGAGAGAGAGATGAGAAGAGAGAGAGAGAGAGAGAGAGAGAGAGAGAGAGAGAGAGAGAGAGAGAGGAGAGAGAGAGAGAGAGAGAGAGAGAAGAAAAGAGAGAGAGAGAGAGAGAGAGAGAGAGAGAGAGAGAGCAGAGAGAGAGAGAGAGAGAGAGAGAGAGAGAGAGAGAGAGAGAGAGAGAGAAGAGAGAGAGAGAGAGAGAAACAGAGATAGAGTTAGACAGAGAATGAGAGGATAGACACACACAGATAACAATAATATTCACGAAAAAAAATCATAATACATATAATGATAGCAAACAAACAAACAAACAAACAAACAATGAAAAACACCCCTATCAAAACAACAACAAAAAAACACAGGTCAGGTAAATCGAAATCTCAAATACACAACACGGAATTATCTGGAATGCGGACAGGAGAATCAGGCAATTTGTACAATCATCCGGGTTGTGTAAGTGATTTCAATTACATAGAGGTTGTGCGGAATACAGCTTGTAAGATAGGGAGAAAACGGATTTTGTTTACCGTATTGTTATTTAAATAGTTTAAATGGTTATCTCTTTCTTTTTCTTTCTCTTTCTCTCTCTCTCTCTCCCTCTCTTTCTCTCTCTCTCTCAAAAATCTCTCTCTCCTCTCTTTATTCCCTCTCTATCTCTCCTTCCCTCTCCTCTCTCTCTCTCTCTTTCTCTCTTCCTTCCTCTCTCTCTCTCTCTCTCTCTCTCTCTCTCTCTCTCTCTCTCTCTCTCTCTCTCTCTCTCTCTCTTCTCTCTCTCTCTTTCTCTCCTTCCTCTCCCCTCTTCTCCTCTCTCTCTCTCATCTCCCCTCCCTCCCTCTCTCTCCCTCTCCTCTCCCTCTCCCTACCCTCACCCTCCCCCCCCTCTCTCTCTCCTCTACCTTCCCTCTCTCCGCATCTTTTCACACCCCTTCCCAAAGACACGAAATCGAGACAAAACCATAATTGAATTTCAAAACATGAACATTATCATAAAAATAAAAAAAAAACATTAGCATTTAAACGAGATGTTATCAAAGGACAGCGGTAGTGAAAATGTTAGCGGATGGTGGAGGGATGACTCAACTGTAGGAGAGGACACGGGGGGGGGGGTACTGGGAACCACTGGGAAAGGGCATATCTATCTGTCTATCTCTGTCTGTCTATCTGTCTATCTTCTATCTGTCTATTCTATTTATCTATCTGCTGTCTATCTACTATCTATCTGTCTATCTATCTGTCTATCTATCTGTATATCTATCTATCTATCTATCTGTCTATATATTATATCTATCTGTATATCTATCTCTGTGTCTATCTATCTGTCTATCTATCCTGTCTATCTATCTATCTATCTGTCTATTCTGTCTATCTGTCTGTCTATCTATCTCTCTATCTATCTACTGTGTATCTATCTGTCTCTATCTGTCTAACTATCTATCTCTAATCTATATATCTGTCTATCTATCTATCTGTCTATTTATCTATCTATCTATCTATCATATCTATCTATCTATCTATCTGTCTATCTATATCAGTCTCTATATATCTATCTATCTATTAATCTATATAGCTAGCTATTATATATATATATTTACATAATAGATAGATAGGTAGATAGATGCCAAACACACACACACACACACACACACACACACACACACACACACACACACACACCACACACACCACACACACAAATACACATAACACACAAGCACAAACACACACAGAAATACACACACACACACACACGAAGACACACACACACACAAATACACACACATACACACAAGTACAAACAAACACAGACACACACACACACACACACACACACACACACACACACACACACACACACACACACACACACACACACACACACACACACACACACACACACAACACACACACACACACACACACACATACACAGACACATACACCCCCACACACTAAACACACACACATACAACACACATACACACACATAAACCACACAGACATACATACACATAAATGTGTATGTGTGTTGTGTGTATGTATGTGTGTGTGTGCCTAAATGAAAGAAAGAAAAAAAAAGCCCCACGACACGAAGAACAACAGATCCTAAAAAAAAACGAAAAAAAAACGAAAAAAACACGACATGAAGAACAACAGATCCTGAAAAAAAAAAAAAAAAAAAAAAAAAAAAAAAAAAAAAAAAAAAAAAAATTACGACCGCCCCCGCCCACTCCATCCAGAACAACAACAGAATCCCCAGCGCGCCCTTCCCACGCCCGCGCTCACTTACTTGACAAACATGTAGACGCCCGTGGGTTCGATGGCGCGCGCGATTCCTTTCCATGATTTAATGATGTTGAACTTTTGCTTGGCGGTGAGGGGGGAGGCGGGGGTCGGGGGGGGGGCTCAGGGATGTCCGGCAATCCTTCGGGGTCATCTTTATTCTTGGAGGATTTGGTGATCTGGCAACCCATCGGCGAGGCAGGCGGCGAGGTTAGGCGGAGGAAGTTCCCGCGCTTTTTTTTTTGAAAAGTTCCCGCGCTTTTTTGAACTGTTTTTTTGTTTTGTTTTGCTTTTTTTTTTTTTTTGGGGGGGGGGGGGTTGGGGTTATGTGATTTTTTGGGGGGGGAACTTTTTGGGTTTGTTTGTTTAACTATTTCTCTGTTTCTTTTCTGTTGTTGGTTTGTTTCTTTAACTGTTTCTGTTTTATTCCTGTTTTTTTATATTTTCCTTCTTTAACTATTTCTGCGTTTATCCTTTTGTTTTGTTTCTCGTTTTTAACTATATTATTTCCTATTTTTCATTTTTTTTTCTTTATCTCTCTTATTCTATTTTAATGGACGGTATGAGTTTGTGGATAATTTTCTTCTTGTATATTTCTCTTTCTTATTTTCTCTATTTTCGGTTTATTTTTGCATCTATTTCTTTCTAGAATTATTCAGTGATTACGAAAATTTTCCTCTTTTTCTCTCGCGTTTGTTTTGTATTTCTAATCATTAACACTAGGACATTTCACCTGTATTTAAAAAAAAAATAAATGAATAAATTTAGGGATTACTTAATAAAGAAAAAAATGCACCACAAACATAAAAACAAAACAAAAAAACAAAAAAACTAATATCGACTTCTGAATATAAACAATCCTCAAAACAGCGAAATAATAACAATAATAAAAACCAAATTAGAAATCAAAACGGACCGGGAAAATAAAGCGGTTTCACATTTTCTATGAAGACGACCGACAGAAAACGGAGCGACACGTGCACCCGCTCTCACCGCCGCTGAAAGACTGACGGCCTACGCTGGCTCTCGCATACACACCGCGCGGTTTATGGCACAACTGGCACCTGTGCCTCCGGTTCGGCGAGGGAGAAGAAGACGAAGAATAGTATGATGGAAGGGAGAAGACGAAGATGAGGAGGAGATGGAGTAGGAATAGGAAGAGGAGGAGGTGATGACGGTTACGAGGAAGATGAGGAAATAGGAGGAGAGGGAGGAGGAAGAGGAGGAGGGAGAACGGTAGGATAGGAAGAGAGGTGATGGACCGGTTCGGCGAGGTGAGAAATAAAAGGAAGTAGGAGGAGAGGGAGGAGGAAGCCGGATGAGGAAATAGGAGGAGAGGGAGGAGGAAGAGGAGGAGGGAGAAGGGTGGAATAGGAAGAGGAGGAGGTGATGGACCGGTTCGGCGAGGGAGAAGACGAGGAAGAAGGAGGAGAGGGAGAGGAAGAGGAGGAGGAGAGGATAGGAAGATAGGTGATGGACCGGAGGGAGAAGACGAGAAAGAGGAGGAGGAGAACGAAGAAGATGAGAATAGGAAGAGGAGGAAGAGGAGGAGGAGAACGGTGGAATAGTGACCGGTTTGAGGATAGGAGGAGAGGAGACAAGGGGAATAGGAAGACGACAAGGTAAGAGAAGGAAGGGAGGAATAAAAGGAAGTAGGAGGAGAGGGAGGAGGAAGGAATAAATAAAAGGAAGTAGGAGGAGAGAGGAGGAGGAGGAGAAGGGAGGAATAAAAGGAACTAAGAGTGAGGGAGAAGGAAGAAGAGGAGGCGAGAACGGTGTGGATAGGAAGAGGTGATGGACCGGTTCGGCGAGGAGAAGACGAGGAAGAGATGGAGGAAGAGAAGGAAGTAGGAGGAGAGAGGAGCAGGAAGAGGAGGAATAAAAGGAAATAGGAGGAGAGAGGATGAGGATGTGGAGGATGGAGTAGGAGGAGACCGGCGGAATAGGAAGAGGAGGAGGTGAAGGAAGGAATAAGAAGAGGAAGTAGGAGGAGAAGGAGGAGGAAGAGGAGGAAGGATAACTTTGGAAAAGGAGGAGGGGGAGAAGGAAGGAATAAAAAGAGGAGGAGAAGGAGAAGAATATGAGGATGAAATAGGAGAGTGGTGGAATAGGAGGAGGCTGAAGAGGAGGAAGGAATAAGAGGAATAGGAGAAGGAAGAAAAAAGAGGAGTAAGAAGAGAGGAAGGAGGAAGGAGAGCGGTGGAAGAGGAAGAGGAAGAGGAGGCGGTGAAGGAAGGAATAGATAAAAGGAAGTAGTTAGAGTGGGAGGAGAAAGAGGAGGAAGAAGAACGGTGGAAAAGGAGGACGGAGAGAAAAAAAGAATAAAAAGAGGAAGAGAAGGAGATGGGGAAGAAGATGAGGATGATATAGGAGGGTGATGGAATAGGAGGAGAAAGGAATAAGAGGAATAAGAGAAGGAAGAAAAAAGTAGGAAGGGAGGAAGGAGGAAGGAGAGAATAGGAGGAGGAAAAGGAAGGAATAAGAGGAGGGGGCGTAAGAGGAGGCAGAATAGAAAAAAGGAGGAAGAGGAGGAAGGAGCGGAGGAGAAGGAAAGAAAAGAAGAGGAGGAAGAGGAGGAGGAGGGGAGGCGGAAGAGGAGGAGGAGGCGGAGAGGAAGGAGGAGGGGAAGGAAGAGATGGAGGAGGAGGAGAAGGAGGAGGAGGAGGAGGAAAGGAGGAGGAAGAGAAAGAGGAGGAGGAGGAGGAAGAGGAAGTGGAACAGGAGAAGGAGGAAGAGGAGGAGGAGAGAGGAGGAGGAGGAGGAGAACAGAAGGAGTTCAGGGAGGAGGAGCATGACGCAACAGGTCCCTCGATCTCTCGTCCGCTGCTTTTGTTTTGTTATTTCTTCTCTTTAAGTCTTATTTTCCTTCCTGTTCTCTCTCTCTCTTCTCGTTTGTGTTCTCCCTTATTTGCATTTTATCATTTTCCATTTTCTCTTCCTTTTATCGCAATTTGTCCCTCTTTTCTAGTCCGGTTTCCCCTTTCCCAATTTCCGCTTTCATATCACTTCTTTTTCAGCTCTCTACGTCACTTCATTTATCACTGGTTTCTCGTTATTTCACCATTTCTTCATAACCGTGTTATTTCCTTTTCGGACTGGTTCATTATGCGGTGTTTGTATCGCTGCCCACTGACTCGCATTAGGAGTATCCACAATTTATAATCAGACTAGTTCATTTGCATAATGATATTAGAAATAGGAGAAATAAAGGTTGAGATACTTTTTAAAACATTGGCTCTTTAGATATTTCAGAAAAGGATAAACGTGTATTGCATTCTAGTCGAAGTCAGAGAAAACCCCGTATTCGAATGATTCTTGTTCCTTACGCGTTTCATTCCTTGCAAATATAAACACAATGAGAAAAATAGAAAAGAAGTAAGCCACGATTTACATAAGCCAAGTCTGTGCTATTCAACTTGCAATATGACACACTGACTTCATACTCCAAACACAATGATTTTTCCTCCCGCTCACTCTTTCAAATTGCGCGGGAAAGCAACCACGTTCGGGCTTCTTGACGTCGACTTCTGTTCGGTCGATTCGACATTGGCTACAGTTTAGTAAGATACGTAAATTCACTAATTCACTTATAAACATAACAGGCAAAAGGTTTTATGCACACTTAAAGACACCAATTCACTTATAAACAGCACAAGCAAAAGGTTTTATGCATACGTAAACACAATAATTCGCTTATTATTTGGACAAGGCACGTTTTAACAAGTATGTACGCCGAATTAGATATAGGATTATTATATAAAGGCATACGTGTCCAAATGTTTTCTCAAAAATTCGTTTATATGGTTTGTTGGTTTAACCTTTCGTTGATGTTTGAGACGAAAAAAAAAAAAAAAGATAAAAGATAAATTGATAAAAATAAAAAGTAAGAATAAATAAATAGTAATAGACGCATTTCCGAGCATTTGACCTAAAAATCACCTTTGGACACGCATATGTGATAACAAACACATAGCTATAAACCTGCTATTTACTGGAGGTAAAATGCGTCATTTAAAAAAGATGTATTAAAATAAACACATCCCCTTTACAGTCACGTGATCATTAACATTTCCCAGACATGAAAGCAGGGCGAGCGGCCTTTGTCAAAGCACCAACAGGGGTGGACGCCATGACAAAAGGCCAGAGCGACGGAATCTGATGTTGATCCACCTCCCTCCTTCCCTTATTCTCTCCCTCCTCCCCCTCCCCTTCTCCCCCATTCCTCTTATCCACTTACTTACTTCCCCCATTCTCCTCCCCCCCCATCACCCTTATCCACCTCCCTCCCCCCTCATTCTCTCCCTCCTCCCCCTTCCCCCTTTCATTTCTCTTATCTGTCCCCCTCTTTTCCTTATTCTCTCCCTCTCCCCCTCTCCCTCTCATTACCCTTATCCACCTATCTCCTCCCTTTATTCTCACCCTTTATTATTCTTTATTCACTTTATTCTTTATTTGTTATTGTAAAGTGTATGCTATATAGTTCACGAACCTCGATACACGGAACACAAAGGAAGTGAGCTCATGGTAGGAATAGAAAAAAATAATGAAAATGAAAAAAAAAAAAAAATAAAGCTTTATTTGGCGCACAGGAAGAGAACTCATGATAGGAATAGGGAAAAAATGATGAAATTAAAAAGAAAAATTAAGCTTTATTTAGCACAAAGGAAGAGAACCCATGATAGGAATTGAAAAAAATAGTAATGAAACGAAAAAAAAAAGAAAAAAGTTTCATCTAACACAAAGGAAGAGAGCTCCTGATAATGAGAGGAATGGAAGAAAATAATAAAATAAAAAAGGACAAATTAAAATTAACAACACAGATAATAATTTCTTAGAACGACAGGAAGGAAAAGCTCTCTTAATCTAAAAGAAATAAGAAATACGAAAAAAAAAGTCGAAATAAAACACAGGAAGCAAGGTAATGATAAAAAAATAATAAAATGAAATAAAAAAAACGGATAACTAACTTCTCAAAAGCTATGAATGGAACTACAACATGTTGATATTAACACTGAAGATATTACAGTGATAAGATTTGGTCAAAGTTTAGTCAAAGTTTCTCATCTTCCCATTCTGTTTTATTGAACGATCCACGATTAATTAAACTGTATTCATTTCCTGTACTAGTTATATCAAATATCATTTGTACTCAAGAACAAACTAATATATTCTGTAACGGGCAATGGCGAATTTTGATATCATAATTTCAAAGTGTTTTCACATTATCAACAAAGAGATACTTAACGAGAAGAAGAGAGAGAGAAGAGAGAGAGAGAGAGAGAGAGAGAGAGAGAGAGAGAGAGAGAGAGAGAGAGAGAGAGAGAGAAGAGAGAGAGAGAGAGAGAGAGAGAGAGAGAGAGAGAGAGAGAGAGAGAGAGAGAGGAGAGAGAGAGAGAGAGAGAAGAGAGAGAGAGAGAGAGAGAAAAGAGAGAGAAGAGAAGAGAGAGAAAGAGAGAAGAAGGAGAGAGAGAGAGAGAGAGAGAGAGAGAGAGAAGAGAGAGAGAGAGAGAGAGAGAGAGAGAGAGAGAGAGAGAGAGAGAGAGAGAAAGAGAGAGAGAGAGAGAGAAAGAGAGAGAGAGAGAGAGATGAGAGAAGGGAGAGAGGAGAGAGAGAGAGGAGAGAGAGAGAGAGAGAGAGAGAGGAGGAGAGAGAGAGGAAGAAGAGAGAGAGAGGAGAGAAGAGAGAGAGAGAGAAGAGAGAGAAGAGAAGAGAGAGAAGAGAGAGAAGGAGAGAGAGGAGAGAAAGATATATATATAATATATAATATATATATAAATATATATATATATAATATATATAGAAGAGAGAGAGAGAGAGAGAGAGAGAGAGAAGAGAGAGAGAGAGAGAGAGAGGAAGAAAGAAAGAGAGAGAGAGAGAAATAAAAAGAGAAAGAGAGAGTAAATAGAAAGAGAGAAAGAGTGAGGAAATATGCCTGAGCTAAGTTTTTCCTTTGCCAGTATGTCAACACGATTATGTGCGTGCGTGCGTCGTGCGTGCGTGCGTGCGAGCGTGCGTGCGTGTTGTGTGTGTACGTGCGCGTGTGTGTGTTT